CCCCCCTCTGCAACGTGTGGTACGAATTTAGTTTGACACGAACACCCCGCAAATCTCCGTTGTATTAATACCGCGTTTCTATTTCCGCGACGCACTGATACTGACGGATCGCGGCCACAGGTGTTCCATGTTCCTTCTGCTCCGTACTCTTCCTACATCCCCACATCCCTCTTCGGAAGCACAGCAGAACTTTCTTATGGCCTCTCCGGGCGAGGAACTGCTAGCTGACAAACGAGTAGAGTGACAACATCCTCTGCTTATTCCTTTGTATTGAAATATTCTAACAATTTGCACGATCTTAGGCAAAAAAAATCATTTAAAACGATCGAAAATAATTCCGTCCAGCAGGCGACGCCTACTGAAGTGCCGTACGCGCTGTACCTTGGATCTGGATAAATTACTATTCGCTGCTGCATCTATTGGTTAATTCTATCGTGGATAGAGTGAGTCCGTCGGGGCGCTGTGTCAGAATTATAGGGGCGTTAAAGTCGCTCGGAACGCGCAAGCCAGTTACCATAAAACTTCCATGTCGCATCCACTTGAGCGACACGATTTTCCAAGTACCTACAATAGCACAAGTAGCAGGATTTCAGAGCTCGCTGTGCATGTATCGTGCTGCGTCGGTGCACTTAATTGAAGAATAAATAAGACCAGCCAGGGACAATTCTATGGCAGGGCGGTGCATGTGTCGAGGTTTAGATAGTGCTAGAATACGAGTAGCGTAGGAGGGGGGTGATCCTCGTCTACTCGAGGAGAGGCGAGCAGTGTGGAACGATCAAAGGATGGATGGGTGGATGGGTGGATGGGTGGATGGGTGGATGGGTGGACGGATCGTAGGGTTAATGGTAAGCCGCGTGAAAACCCCCGTTGTGCACTGCAGGAGCTAACGCGGCAATCGCGTGCTTCGGCTCCGCGAAATACCAGCGGACTCACCGCACGTAGAGTAGAGCACACCTACCCTGCACTGGAGCAAGTAAGACGAGCACGGGAGACATGACGACCCGCCGTCGCCACAATTCCTATTCATATTCTTCAGTTCTTCCTTTCGTTCCTCGTGTCTTTCTCCTCGGGCTCCACTTATCGCGTTATTATAACTCGTGGGCAGTGCTCACTGATATGGAAATTCACTGAAGAGTTAATGAGTCCGCCGATGAGCACCGTCGGAACTTTTATCGTGCCGATGCGATCGCAACTCGTAAGAGTAAGAGACGGTTGGGTATAGAGAGAGAGAGAGAGAGAGAGAGAGAGAGAGAGAGAGAGAGAGAGAGACCAAAGTCCAACGTCAGTAACGCTGCAACCATTGCCTCCCCATGCTCCCCATGCCTTTCAGGCAGCTGATAAATTACTCAACCTTGTAGTTGATCCTCGCCTGGACGCGGAACGAGATAAGGGTTACGCTCATCATGAAATTTCGTGAAATTCCTTTTCGTACCGTGAAGCGGGAGCGTGTAAGCGACAAGGACGAATAAGGAAGTCACGCAAGGATATGCACGAGGGAATTAGACAGCTTGAGTAAACCATAAAACGTCGATCATCGCATCAGAAGTAAGAAAGTTGCAGAGTGCTCGTATAAGCATAGGCTACTGATAAATTAAACTTTCGGAGAGTTCAACCTGCAGCCACGTACTCTCCTACGTGCTGCAGAACCTCTCTAATTATCGTCGACAAGTTCCAACAAAATTTTCTGGCAACGACGATTTACGATCGACTTAACAGATCGCCTGCCGGGAAGAAGCCGTCTCTCCCTCCTACTACCCGGCCTACTGCGACTTTCTTTCAGCTTTCACCCCTAGCTACCTCTGACGACGCTCATGAGCCATTCACCCCGACCAAGGGCAACCTGCGCTATCCTCCTGCCAGTACCCGGGGCACTCTCTCTCTCGGAGTCTTGGCCCTCTTTGCCCTCGTCAGTGACACCTTCTTAGGCATCTACAACCACTAGGATCGTTCTTACCGGCACTGTAGCAGGTGACGCAGATCGCCCGGGAGGCCTCGAGCTCTATAGCATTAGCTGCGGATCCAGCAACCGACGATGGACTCTATAATAAATAGTTTTCCATGAGCTTGCATTCTTTCCGAGCGACGTAAAAGTTGGGTTACAATTGGTGGACCGGTGCTAAAAATCTTGGCTGAACGAACATCAACCAAACTCGAGTTTTTGAGAAGACAAAGATCATTTTGCAAATAAAAAATAAAAAATAGGTAACTGCCGCAGACGATTAAATATATCGATATTATCACTAGGATCTAAGGAAGGGAGCTTTCGCGAAGCTCCCGCATCACCAAGCGGAGCCTCTTTGACCCGGCACACACGCCGTCCATAGATCAAGCAGAACCCTTAGACCGAACCCCTGTGCCACGGACTAACCATTAATTTACAACCCGCAGAGTAACCCCGTGCCGACCCCCACATAGAAGCCCCACATCCCTTTGTGGCAGATATGAGCTACAACGTGGCCCTGAGAGATTCCAGTGCGTTACGCTTCCCTTTCTTCCCTTTCTTCCCTTTCTCGTCCACACTCGTCCCCTTATTTCCCTTCGCCTCTTTACCCTTTCCCACGCTGCCGCATCTCACGTCCATCCACGGCCAAAACCTTAACCTCAGCCTCATCTTTCTCCGCTAGCCAACCTTAAACGTTTCATACATAATACGATAGATACTGGCGCATGCATGTACAATATGTACATGGAGTCTCGCACATTGTGAGGCCAAACTCCATTGTTTTTCATCCGGAATCCTGAAAGCTCACCTAATTTCCTCAATACTGGAGCTCTCAAGATGCCCCGCTACGTCCTGTGATGCAGCATCCCATTGTTCCTTTTGATGTCTATTGACTGATTCGAAAAGTTCAGGAGAAAATTAATAGAGCACAACCGTATAGGCCTAACGCAGTGTGAGCTTAGAGCTTCCTGACGTCACGGGTTAAGAGATTATCGTGATACACTGACTATCGTGATAGATTATCGTGATAGTATTATGCACCGAAGGCATCTTCCTTCTTTGAAGATAAAACGATCTGACGAGTCGTCCCGTAGATGGATTCTGCGCAGAACTCGTTCGCTCTGCGACAGCGGCAGATGGACAGACTGCACTGGCGAAAGCTGCGCTCGCGCACCCGACTACCGATATCTAATTCAGATTTTTAATATTTTTAGCTTCCTGCCCTTCAGTTGAATTTCGGCGGGACCACTCGCCTCTATATCTTTCAGAGAGAATTTAGAAATTAGAAAGTAGAATGTAGAAAGTAGAAAGTAGAAAGTAAATAAGTAGCAAAGAAGGGCCGTAGTGCCGAGTTCTGATATGATCTTAAGATAAAGTAGTATTATAGATACTCGAAACCGCAAAGGCTCAGAAGTGACGATGGTGGAGGGGCAAATGCAGGCGGTCTGAAGCTAGGTGAAGCTAGGTGAAGCTAGGTGAAGCTAGGTGAAGCTAGGTGAAGCTAGTTGGAGATAGGTGGAGCTAGGTAAAGTCGTACGCACCGCGATATTACGTTTAATCACGTAAAGCTTATACAAGACGCTCGGAAGGTAAATTAACTCGGAGCCATAACTCAATGTCAGAGAGACCTGCTTCGATAGAGCTTGCACACCCTCGTGGCTTTAAGACTACTTCACGTGAAGCTATGAATCTACGAATCTTCGAATCTACAGAGAATCCTAGCATATTGGCTCGGCGCGCTGCCACGTATTTGCAACATGCACACCAGCCAGCCTGCCTCCTCACGCGACACGTCGCGGAGTGACAATTGACAATTATTACAGCGGCGCTGTCAGCTCTGATAATGCCCAAAGCATCGAGAACAGCTTCCAGTTTGCAATTCTTCAAGGTCTGCGGGAGACTAAGCTCAGTTGCTGCCAAGAGAGGAACTGCCGCCAGTAGAGATTAAAACTGAAGATGAAAGGTGGAAACGCTCGACTGCGGCCAATGCAAATGCGAATGCGAATCCACTTGAAGGCGAGTGGCCCAGGCAAAGGGAAGGCAAGGGGAAGGCAAGGGGAAGGCAAAGGGAAGGCAAAGGGAAAATCGAAGTCCCGTAGTCGCAGAGGAAGGACGCAGTAAATTTATTAGCAGGAGATTAGCATAAGACATAAACGTGTGCCACGCAAATTGCGTGCTCGTAGGAATGCATTTAAAGAAAACGTCGAGCGCACGCAACCGAATTCAGAATTCTACGTGATTAATAATAGGCGGCATGAGGTTTCAAATACTTTAACAACGGGAACGACAAGGCAAATATGGGAAATGTGGAAAATGTGGAAAATGTGGAAAATGTGGAAAATGTGGAAAATGTGGCAAATATGAGGAATATAACTCTTAACCCTTGTCTCCTCTCTCCACCTAGGCGTCACCTAACCCGAAATTGCTAGTCACTAGCAATAATTCGCCAGACCCACCTTGATCGTCGCGTTGTGGGATCCTTCATGACCATGACTTCCGTGATGTCTCCATACTTGGTGAAGTACTCTCTGAGACTCTCTGAAAGCAAAAGAACAGAAGGGAACGATCAATCAGATTGCGAAGGTTGCAAATACGGTATAAAATAAAGCAAAAAAAAAAAGAATGTACGGCACTCGGCATGGGTGATCAGCTGAGGTAAGATCGTTCAGTGACATCGTAATATGATGAAACAAATTGATCGATCTCTGGTTAAACTTTGATCGTAACACGTAACCTCAACAATATGTACAAACTGTAAAAGAGAAGGACTCTTGGAGACTTACGGGGAAATGAAACTCTAAAGTCGTTAGCGCCCGTTTAATAATTGGTTACCGCAAGAATGACGACACTTTAGCTGCAAGTAGTAAATTCTGCAAAATCTGAGAAGAATGGTGCGCCATGACCGACACGCGTGAACACGCGTGAACACGCGTGTGTGAATCAGAGGGAGAGGGTGGCAGCGGGGGAGGATGCGAATAAAGGAGCGAGACGTTCCATCGTAGTTGCGCCCGCGATTGTGATCGTCGGAGCCTGAATTGCGCCCTGCGACTCCTCAGGCTGCATCTCGATGAAACATTTAATTAAGGCGAGAGTGAATCAGGCACTATTGTTCCTCTGCTTCGTTTAGCGCGAGCAGGTATCACATGCGTGTCCGATAAAGTCGTCTGAATTAATCTTACCGGGACTTTTAGGAAGGGAGTTGTCCAAAGTCTCGTAGCCCAAAGTTTAAAGCAGCATTTAGGCTGCGCGGAAATATTTTATTAAATCTTTGAAATATAAAATTCGATAAGGCCAGAGTTACCGTATTTGACCCATTTTTGCGTGTCCATGCTTTCTTATCTATGAGTTATCTGCTTTCACATCCCTTTGCAACCTTCTCCAACCGTCCTTCACTCACCAAGTTAATTGCATATTTGAAAATTCCAAAAGGCGCATGAAGTGTACTTGATAAAAAAAAAAGAGAGAGGCTATCGAGCTTCGATGAAACTGCCGTATCGCACAGCCTAACAGCTCGAGCAACCTCAGCAACGGTAGCAACGTCAGCGGCTTCAACTAGTTCGACCAAGCCAAACTGGTGAGGATTCTCACCATCGTTGCCATGACGCACACCCTCTGCTCGACTCGGAACCTGCGAGGGTGAAGCTGGCAGTAGGCCAAGATGGCCGAACTCCAAATATATCTTTCACCCTATCTAATTATACGCTGTTTTATCCAGACCGCCCTGAAGACCTCGTAATGCCCGACAGTTACTTGCCTATTCGAGTGAGTGGTCTTGAGTTTCGATAAACCGCAGATCTTACGCTCTCGAAGAACACGGAATAAAATGAGAGAGAGAGAGAGAGAGAGAGAGAGAGAGAGAGAGAAATCGAAAAAATAATGAAAAAAGGGAAACACAGCCCTCTGTCTCTCTCTCTCTCTCTCTCTTTCTCTGTGTGTGTGTGTTATTTTTTTTCCAATTTCTCGCCACGTGTCCTAGTTCGGACGATGGGATGTGGAAGGAGAGAATAGGAGAAAAGGGAAGAGTAATCGAGAGGAAGGATCGGGCTCGCGTGCGGGCGCCCGCCGCATCGCGAAACTACATTAATTATAATTGTCTTAGAGTTGCGATTTACAGCGTGTTAAATTTCAATTTACTCGGCAGCTCCGAATGTTTCTTCGAATCTTAATTCTTTTGGATATGAGTCTCCGATGCAAAAACGAGAAATATAATATAAATCATATGTATAATAGAATAAATAGTAAATTTATGAATTGATGAACGAACGAAGGATGGAAGGACGAAATGAGGGAAGTTGAGAAATTACGGAAAATGAAGCAGTGAGGAAGGTGGAATTCTTTGACGCGAGTCGCCTGCCGCCTGCCGCCTGCCGCCTGCCGCCTTCTCCGCTATGAAAACGCCGTTAAATTAAAGAAACGCTTGGAGCGAGCAGCCCAGAACGTGATGTTTCCTTAATTTGTCCTAGAGCGGATTGATGGGGAGCAATTTTACGTTCCAGCCACTTAGCGTCCAGCTCAGAAATTTACGAACATTATTTCCTTAATTGTTCCTACTCCTCGACTTATTCTCCTGGAGGAATAAGCGCCGTGCCCACCTTCGTCCTCCGTTAGCAACATTCTCGTTCGTCCATCGCAGCCATCGCAACCATCGCAACCCTCGGATCCTTCTCGTCAAAGAATTTCCTTTTGCGACTGATTCACGTTCTCCCCGATCATTCGTGCCGTAAATCGTGAATCGTGAATCGTGAATCGTGAATCGGCAATCGAAACGACGACTGATAATTTGATTAAGCGATAGAGACACGCGAGCTGATTGTGTCCTTGAGGGTCCGAGATAAGGTGGCCGCGTTACACTGACCTACCTGGCTATCGGTCCTCATTTAACTCTAGTCTAAGAATCCACAAAATCTACAAGATTTCGTCGTACAATCATTAGATCACCTCTCTCTCTCTCTCTCTCTCTCTCTCTCTCTCTCTCTCTCTCTCTCTCTCTCTCTTCTTGTGGATATTCTCTTTTGTCGTTTTTTTTTATTTGTTTTTTCGTCAATGCCTCGTAGAGTAATGAAAAAAATGATATGAAAGTAAAAATTCATTGCATATAAACTATTAAGCCTTTGCGCGATCCGAGAGCCAGGAAACGTGCGCTTTGAGCATGTTCCTTTCTAATCCCTTTGACTCGTAGTTCTAATCCTGCAACGAAATTGCTGAAGGAGTTGATGCTTTAGCCCAATGGAAAAGGAGGAATCGTCCACTTCCAGATTTTCCGAGTGCAGCGTGTCTCTTATGGGCCTTATGGCAGCTTAAGCATTTCTAAGCTTAAGCAGAATCCTTAAAGTTTCTTAAAGCTTTTGCACTCCGCTCCTTCTTTTTACCTTGATTCTTTTCTCCTAAGCGCAGCGCAGGGTATCGCCTTTGCCTAGCAGCCGGCAGCGAGCTGATCGGCACGAGCACGATGCTCTCTGCGCTACGGCAGCACGTGAAACTGAGTTTGAACTTCATTTCGCCAAGGATGGATGGAGGTGATGCTGTTGAGTTTCATTCAAATGCGATTGTAACAGACGACGAGCCGAGAATAGCCGAGAATGGCCGAGAATAGCCGAGAATAGCCCAGAAGAGGGACAGAAGAGGGACAGAGTTCAAGGGAGTTCAAGAGAGTGCAGCCCAGCTATTCGACCGAGTGTTTCTCTGTATGCACAAAGGGCCGACACCAAGTTCTACATGTAAAGTCCGACGCTGCACTCTCCTATTCCATGGCGAACCGTCGTGTCCAGGAAGATTTCAGGATCCCCTAAGATAGGACGGAATAGAAGAGCTGCGGAGAAGAGAAGAAAGAGAAAGAAGAGAGGAAGGAGAGAGCTCTCCCATTTCGGAAGACTGTTCATTGAAACGAATGGCCTTCTCTACTCCCTAACCCGATCCTCGAGAACTGCCATCTTCTTCGCACTCCTTTCTTCTGCACCCAGCAGATCCAGCAGGATTACTTATCCTTGAGCAAAGAATGTGGCTCAACCTAAACTATCATTTGAATAAACGCGGAGTTACTGGCTGCCGGAGATGCGTTTCTGCAGCAATATTAATGGCATCGGGATGCTCGTGGGTCTACGCCTGATAAGTAATGCCAGTGGCGCCACCCTCGCGGCGAGTTTCGGCAGTACTCGCATCTTTTGTCGATTGCTGCAAATGAATTAAAAAGTATAATAATAAAAAATATAAGATATCAAACCAATCAGTGTTCCTGTTGGTACCGATTGGACTCAACCGCCAAGCGTAAACACATACAAGAGTTACTTGTCAAGCGCATAAACTGCTTTTACTGTTCTTTCGATGGAGACACTTAAGTAGGAGGAAGGATAGCGGAAAAGAAATCTATTGAATCGATCGAGAAGTGAAAAGACATCGTTCGTCGGAAGGTAAACGTGCCACCAGTCCGCAGAATAATAGTGGTGTAGTAATAAGGGAAAAGTCCAAATTGTGGGTCAACGAGTAGAACCAATAAACCGATAGACCAGTTGAATTAGCAACACGTCTATTTCCAGAGACGGAATTGAAGATGCAGAAAGGATTTTCCTGTGTCTCGATCGCAGTGAAACTTTCGCTCGCCCTTCGCTTTTTAATTCGATTATAAATAGCGAAACGTTGGCAAATATCAAATGGTCCGAATTCCTTAGGAAATTTCGAAAGTTCGGCCAAAAGTTAACTCGTCTCTATCTATAATATATTAACTGAATTCGATTTCACATTTATAAATACGGCAGGCCGAATCGTGCAAGTCGACTGTTTTGTTCGCGTTCGCGTGCCGCGCTCTATTTTAGTGAGGGCTGCTCAGCATCCCAAAAGGAAAGAGTACAAATACGAAAGAGTTTTTGCAAGATACAAGAGACACCGTTCCACGTTCGTATAGTGCGGTGCCTCCGTATGGGGATTTCATCTCCTTCGCTGGAGCCAGAAGAAGAAGTCTGCTCGCGGATGCCCCGAACACTTGGCCGTCTCTGGCTCCTTGAAAATTGACAAAAGACACGTCACAGGCCTATTGTCATTCGCACGTACACGCGAATACTTTTCTTAAGACGCAACGAGTTGACTTGGTAGGCTGATACATACCTATAGAGGGTCGACAGAAGCAGAGCCTACCTGGCCGCGAGCCAGTCCCGCTTCCACGGCCTGCGATAGTGCATGTACTATATAACGACTGCATAGTGGGTGCATAGAGGCTATACCGAACCCCCTCCAACGGGCGCATAGGTGCCCGCATTGCAGCTATGGCCCACCATCCTAATGATAGCAACTGTGCACGCAGGTACAAATTTGCCTAGGTAGCCACCCATTCACCCATTCACCCATTCACCCATTCATCCGTTGGCCCGTTGGCCCGTTCGCCCGTTCGCCCATTCGCCCATTCGCTCATTGAGCCATACCCGCGCCCAGCCACTCACCCGGCTAACTCGTCCACCTCTCGCTTCGCAAACCACTGCCGATTTTCAGACATCTTATGACAGTTTTTAACACGCGTAGAAAATTTATGAGATGCATATTTCTCATAG